AGGGGCCTCTTGGGAAAGGAGCCAGGAGAGAAGAAAACCCATACCTTAATCGATGTTCAAACTTTGATGTTGCTGCCCGGAAAACTCCTCCAAACCACTCCCAATTCACTTCAACGTACACCTCACTCGACGAACCTCTCTTAGCCTTGACGTTTTGATTACTTTTTCTTTTACTAATTTTTTTTTGTGAGTTCTTCAAGCGTGAAGAACTGTTGATATTTGGCAGAATAACGTGAGAAAGATGGAGAACATGAGAGAGAGAGTTAAGAAGCGTGGGAGAGAGAGAACTATTAGGATTAGAAGACTAATTAAAGAATTAGTCAAATAACATTTAAAATAAATAAATACAAATCTGTTTTTGATTTATTTATTCATTTAAAACGTGAAAGGACCATTATGCCCTTAAATACCTATTTATTCTTATTTATATATATTTTTTTTGAACCGTTACAACAATAATCCCTGGATTGCATATAGGGCACAATAACCCCTATTTTATTTTTCATGTCTTTACAGGGCACAATAACCCCTAGTTTCATATAGGGCACAATAACCCCTATTTTATTTTTCATGTTTTCACATGGCACAATAATCCCTGGTTGCAATTTGGGTACAAAACTCTCTTTTGTCTTATTTTTTATATTTTGTAATAGGCTACAAATTATTTTTATTATTAGTATAGACTTTTATAGCTTTAATCAATAACTCACAAAATTTCCTAGTGCAAACTAGGCAGAAAATTTTGTTTTGTGTGCAGGTTTTTACATAGTACACAAATTTACAGTTCAAAAATAAAAGAATTCATCCTTTGAAGAAAATAAGTTTTCAAGAATATCATGCGGAAGAACGTCAGTAGCTGAAGTCAAGTCATGAAGTTTCAAGTCTTAAACTCAGATGTCCAGAGCAAAGGGCGAGAATCGATGAACCTACCAAAGAGGGTGAAGCGATATATGAGAATCCAAAATGAAGACTTAGCACTATCAGAGTAGATAGGATTTCATATCTTTCCTTCTGCATTTTGTTTTATGTAATAGCTGGAGCTACGAATCGGAATCTCGACAAAACTTCACTCGACTACCTAACTCATTGGAACTACGCCTGACTCATTATCATCAACTTAGGATAGGTAGTTTTTATAAAGATAAGACACAGTCAAACCTCTTCTCTATTATAAATTTTACACATTTTTGCCATAAATATTTCAGTAAAAAATTAGTCACATTGTTCACGTCTTTGCATGAAAACTCTTCATGTTTTCAAGCAAAGAGGGGCATACTATGAATACCTAATTTTTTACCAAAATATAAAGAGTTCACACCAATTTTTTAAAAAAATTATATTTAAAATAAATAAAAATAAATAAATTGTGTAAATTACTTTAATAATAAAAAAATTATGAATTCATGGTATTTGTTTTAAATCTTCAACTTTTAATTAGTTTAAAAAATAATGGTAGAAGAAGAAAAAAAGAGTCCTAGATATTCAAATTACCTTCCCCTTATCTTAAGTAACCTCAAACTCCCAAAAACTAATTTTCCTATTATTGTTATTTAGTAGGATAATTATTTAATTATTTCTCAACCATAATTCTCTAAACAATATTTCTAATTAAATCCTAATCCCACTCTATTACATTTCTTTTAATTAGCACCAGATTCTCACCCAAAAATATTATATAACACATATAACCCACGTTCAATTGAGAAGGAAATATACAGAGAGAAAGACAGAGAGAAAGATAGAGAGATGTAAAAAAAATGTACAGAGAAAAATATAGAGAATACACAGAAACTGAGATTGATAGACGTAGAAAAGAAGAAAAACAAGCAAACACAAAGAAAAAAACGAGTTATTTCTTTTGAAAATCAGGTTAGAGTTAGAGATTTAATCGTGATTCCAAATTCGTGGATAACAGCTCGCTTTTATGGTATCAATTTTCGCAGCGAGGTAATTATAAATTCTCGCGTGATTTAAATAATATTACTTCAATGAAAAGTTGATTCCAATAGTATGAAATACTTCAAATCACATGTATTATATTGATTATTGTTACGTTATTATTATTATTATTATGTTTTTTAGATAAATTTTGCAATTTATGTCGCTTCATGATATTGAATTGTTGAATTTAAATAGATTTATATATCTTTCTGTCTATTTTCACTTTAGAATATTTTTGTTGAATTTATTGTAGACTTGTTAGATTAGAATATATAAATAATTAGTAATTATTTTTTATCTAAGTAGAATTGTAAATTTCATGTAGAGATTCATGATAAAATAGTGATAATTACTATAAATAATTATAATAAAGAAAGAGTAAAATTTGAGAAATTGTATAAAGAGAACAAAAGAAAAAAAAAAAAACAAGAAAGCATAAAACAAAAAAAGAAAAGAAAAGAAACAGCGAAAAAAACAAAAAAGAGGGGGGGGGGGGGGAATAGCAGAATATTTTTATATATATAAAAAAGAAACAGAAAATACAAAAAAGAACGTGAAAATGAAAAAAAAAGAAAAAAGAAGAGAGAAGCAGATTTTTTTTTATATAAAACAAGAAATTAAAAAAAATGAATGAAAAAAGAACGTAAAAAAAGATAACAAAAATTATTTTAAAAAATAAAAAAAAAAAGGAGAAGAAGACAAATTTTATGGAATAATAATAAAATAAATAAAAATAATAAAACAGAAAGTTAAAAAATAAATAAAAGAAAGAAAGAAAGGAAAATAGAAATAAAATAATAATAAAAAAGTTAACAAAAACGTAAGTTTTTTTTTTATAAAAATAAAGTAAAAAAAGAAAAGAAAAAGAGTGAGTTTAAAAGAATGTCAACCAAAATTAAAATCTCTTTCCTGTATAAATTTTACTTTCAAAATATTAGATATTTATATATATTCATTAATATGTGTGTGTATATATATATATACAGACACACACAAATGTTAATTAAAATAAACAGATTTTTCAAGTTTAAAATTAATGAACGTACCTTGAAAAAAATAAGATCATTTCAAATAAATTAGTCAGTTTTAAATAAGTTAAACAATAAATTTGGGTAAATAAAAATTTATCATTAAGTTTAAATAATATAATATTCAAAATTAAGTCAAGTCATATCAAAGTTAATGAAACGACCGTGCTAGAATCATGGGATTCGAGGGGTGCCTAACACCTTCCCCTCGGTCAACAGAATTCCTTACCCGAATTTCTAGTTCGCAGACCAATAAAAAATGGAGTCAAATTTTCTTTTGATTAGGGATTTAAATAAGGTGACTTGAAACACCAAAACTCAATTCCAAGTGGCGATTCTGAATAATAATTATCCCTTTTCAAAATGTCTCTTTAATTGGAAAAACTCTTTTTCTTTCGAAATAATAAAAAAAACAATATTGAGAGAAAAAAAAGGGGCGTGACATGCGTACATATCTAACACAAATTGAAAAAAATATATATAAAAAAAATTAGGAGCGGACAGTTACATAGGATGAGATAGAATTTTTTATTTTTTTAAAAAATAAAATAATATCAATATTATTTTTTTTGGGGTGGGGGGGGGGGGGAGGTTAAGTGGTGGAATGAGTTAAGAAAATAATTTAAAAAAAATTTAAAAAAAAATTATTTTTTAGATACTAATACTTTAATCTTTAATTTTTTATTAATATTAATAATTTATTATTTAATTTTTGTTAAAGTGGAAAATTCTATCCATGTGGAATGTCATGTGTCAAGTTTTTTTTTAAAGAAAAGAGAGAGTGTATTACACACACCTCTAAGGTGTGCTTCTCAAAATAAAAAGTGATTAGTTTAAGTATAAAACTCACACTCTCAATAGTTTAATTATGAAACTCAAAAAAGTGGATAGTTTACGTATTTTTTTTTGACATTTATCTCTATAATGTAAAATATTAAAAATTTGAGGTGGAAGAAATCTTCTCTTAATTCAAGTGCAGAAAATTATTCCTTATTTTGATTCTTCCAACTTGACTTGCTTAAGGTTGTAATAATACATGAATATATATAATTTTCCTTTTAATATACGTGTATCTAGTTTAGTATATAGGGGTGAACCTACGTAATACATTACGGATGCTCGAGCACTCATTGACCTCAGCTCGAGCTATACATAATTAAGTAGAAAAATAACAAAGCTACTATAAAAATAATGGTGAGCACCCTTGGAATAGATAGTTGCGTGGTTCCTTTGGTTTAGAGCTTGAAGTTTATGTGCTTTTAACTCATGGCAAGTGATATCGATCCTCCATTCATGTTTTTACTCCCTTTTTTTCTTATGTGAAAAAAAATAGCCCTGCTATTTTTATTTTTTTTAAAGGGAAAATGACTTGCAATTAAGCTCTTTGATTGATAGAAGTTTACATTAAAAAATAGTGAGCATCCATAGCCCTAAAATTCTAGATTTGCCACTGCTTATGCAGCTAGTACATGTACGTGTCGTAATCTAGGCCTAAACCTTTTTTCTTCTATTGAAGTTTGAAAAATCGATAATTAATATATGTGTTGAAATGATATTTTTGAATAACATTTCATGCAAAGCGTGCCCTATAATACATAGATAGTAGTAGATTGCAAATATTCTTTTTAAGTATAATATATAAATATGTCACTTAATTTGACATCATTTTATATTTTTATTCTTCAACTTTGGATGTGTACAAGTAAACACTTAAATTTATATAAAATTAAACATATACATGCATGAGTCCTACTGATATAACAACACCACATAGAGACACGGAGAATGTCACGTAGGGTACGTGTCTGTTTGTTTAATATTATATAAGTTTAAATGTCTTTTTATGTACACTTAAAAGTTTATTAGAGGATATAAATGTGACCTGAGAACAAATTAAATAGCATAATTATTTATTGTTTATAACTATTATTTACTTTTATCAAGTCTTTATAAAGTTAAAAAAAAAAAGGGTAAAAATGTGTTTGATAATACTAAAAAAAATAATTAATTTTCATGTATTAACAAGACATATACTTTTTTTTTGGGGACAAATTTAGCAATAATTTGGTCCGGGCTCAAATCAAAAGCGGGCCAAAATCCGGTGAAGGAAAAAAAATACGATCCATGTTATTTCTCGACCGACCCTCCACCATCTCCTCTTCTCACCGATCGACGACGTCCGCCGTCTAATGTATAATCCTCTCTCTTTTCATGCGTTTATGCAAATATTCGATGAATTTGTGTTTGCTTTTCTCTTATTTACTGCATACCAGATTTTTTTAATAAATAACCATTTTAGAATTCGAGAATTTCAAAACCCTAATTGAACTCTGAGTTGATATACTTTCTGATGTATTTTATTGATCATTTCAGAATTTGGGTATCGAAGGTTGTCCAGATCACACGGTCTTTTGTTTTTTTTTTAAAGTGGATTTATACAGTATTAAGTTACCAGGTAAAAGATTTATTTTTTTGGGTATGTTTCTTTAGTAAATTTGTCAAAGTTGTTTGTTTGTTTGTGATGCTGGTGATTGTTATTTTTGACATTCTGTTTAAGCTAAGTAATAAGAGTATTACTAGAGATTGTGGGTGTCTAATATGAGCATTTGACTTGAAAGGTTATGATTTGTTTTGATCATAGAAGATTTATTAGTAGACTGTGGATCTTGCATCAGTGGAATGATTCAAAGTAGAAAGCTCAGTATGACAAGATTGTCTAAATTGTGTACCCTGCTTGATGAATAAGTGAGGGAGGGGATAAAAAAGACAAAAAAATTGAATTCAATGTTTATTTAATGGTACATGTGCTAGTCTGAAGAAAAGGTAAAAAATAATTAGCAATAGAGCATTTATTGATTGTAAATGTTTACTTCAACTGTTTTTGCTAGTCTATTCAAAGGTTTGAATGGCTAGATGTGCAACATCTTTTTACTAGTTCAACATTTAGATGTCATCCTCTTCTGTCTTTTCCTCCATTAATGGCTGTTTTTGCACTTTGTTGGCTTGGATACTTTAAATTAGTGAATGATAGTCGATGCACAGAGGATTGCATGGCAGTTTTTGTCATGGAAAAAGCTTTTTCAATTCTTTATCTATTCAGCTTATTATTGATGGCTTCAACGTTTAGGAGTGTTTATCTTCTTGCTTTTATCTTTCTGGAATTCCATGGTTACACATTGAACCTGCTTACACCCTGGCGTAGTTTGTCACACTGTCTTAAAAGGTTATTATGCATTTAGGATGACTTTTCAGTATTATTGATCTCTTTGGTTTCTTGACCGTTTCCGTTTTGATGTAGATACTTGTTCAAACTTCTTTATATGCATTAAACTCCTTCGTTTTGACGATTTGTTTTTTTTTGATAAAGAATGTTAACAAATTGTACTACTGCTTTGCACGTTCCCTTTTAGACTCTTTAATTAGGCTATTTTCTTTTTTTTTGGTCTTATTTATGGTCTCCGTGGACTCTTCTGAGCAGATCTTATGTAGCCATAATGGTATCCTTGCAGGTTGTAATCATCACTATTGGGAAAGTTAGCTGAGTTTCATGCATTCATGCTGTAGAGTATTGTCATGCACCTCTGTGTCAATTGGGCGGGAAATACAAAGAGCGTGTTTAAGCTGATGCGATGTCAGCATCTAGCAGATTTGATCTATCTTCTAGTAGCCCAGATAGACCATTGTATGTCACCGGGCAGCGTGGGTCATATGCATCTGCTTCATTGGATAGGTCCGCTAGTTTCCGCGAGAACATGGAGAATCCAATCTTATCTTCTCTTCCTAACACGACAAGGAGTACTTCAACAATTACACAAACAGATGTCACTAACTTTTTTCAGTGCTTGCGTTTTGATCCAAAAGCAATGGTGACAGAGCACAAACTTAATAGGCACAGTGATTTCAAGAGACTCACTGGTTTAGCTTTAGGCATGCCAGTAGAGGATTCTCCTGTGGTGTCTTCTAAAGGGAAACCATCCTCTTCTCCCTTTCCAGAGGAAGCCAGACGGCTGAAGGCTGGTCTTCGGGAAAGCTGTACTAAAGCAAGGTAGTTATTTGGAAACTTAGCTGCATTGCTTTATTTTACCTGGTCGACATGGATAAAGAATTGTTTTGATTTATTTCCAATGAAATATCAGGGAACGTGTAAAGATATTCACTGAATCCTTATCTGTGATCAACAAATGCTTTCCAAGCATTCCATCAAGGAAGAGATCTCGGTCAGACGTCTTATCAAATGAGCGACCCAATGTGTTATATTCAAGTGACCGGTCAGTTTCAGGAGCAGGCATTGGTAAAATAGGAACCCAGAGTGGTTATGAGTTTGAGCTACAGAAGTCCGAAAAAAGGACCAAAAATGCTGTTCCTAATAAGCGCACTCGAACTTCTATGGTGGATCTGAGGGTTTGTATTTTTCCTTTGCAGTTCTTTTTTGCAATTTCTTAAAACTTTATTCAGTTTTTTTGAACTTGGGAAGTTTACTTTAACTTCCTAGTTAAGATTCTCTTTCTTAATGCATCTCCCATCACTGTATCAGTACTGATGAATAACCTAGAGAGTGAGACACTGACTCTATCCTTACCTGATTCGTTTGTTATTATTGCATGATATTGTTGAAGGCTGGTTGAGGCTGTCTAAATTGCTAAATGGAGTTGGATGCTGTTGAGCGCTAGGATAGACTCTTACCTTATTAACTTGCGTAATGTTGAGTTTATTTTTAAGTGCTTTTCAGATACTTTCCTGGTCTATACTTATAATACTTTATACATTTGAGGAAGTACTGAAGTTTTCGAAGGGATAGATAATGACCGTGTATTTGAGGAATTTCTTATTTTCAATTTGATGGCAGCCATGAGGCCCTGTTAGTTTAAATGATTAGGTGTCTTTTTTGTAGAGATTTATAATTTTGTGTAGGCTGTCAATATTTTGGGTAGTGCTTGTATTCAGGATTCTCCCACATCAATAAAATTGTATTTCTTATAAAATAACAAAAAAATAAAATAAGAAGGATGTTTTGTGTTGGAGTTCCTTGTCTTTGTTTTATTTTATAGGTAGATATTTTCCTTTTAAGATATCTTTTTTCCTTGTTGTGGATGGGTGAATATCTTTCCTTGTTCTTGATGTCATCTTTGGCTTGACAACTTGCTCCTTCACCTCAAATTATTCATTTTCATTCATCAAACATGCATGGAATGAGTTCCGAGATCCTCAAGACTGATGGATATGTTTTATTGAATTAGCCGGAGGTGCAAGCAAGCACTCCATCAAGGCCATCTGGGATTATGGATAGAGATAGGGAGATATTGAGACTTCCAAATAGTAGCACAGTTCATGGAGAGGACCGGACATCATCTATTGCTGTAGAAGGCTGGGAGAAGTCTAAGATGAAAAAGAAGCGATCTGGAATAAAGCCAGATACTACTGGAAGCTCGTCGACAGCAAAACCTATGGAAAGGGAACCAAAGCAAGGATTGCCGTCCCGTCTTATAGCTGATGGCCGCTTGCGGTTTGGTGATACCCATAGCTTCAGGTGTTGTTTCAAATATCTATGTCAAATTTAACCTCCAGCTTCAATGTGTGTGTTTTAGATTTAGATTTGTCTTTATCTGCCCTTTTTATATGAGAACATATATACATGTATGAATTGCTGATGTTCTATTGGTAGATTTCCTTTCTTTGGTTGAGTATTGTTTGGACTTTGGAAGCACTTCTTATCTGAGAAACCTTGCTATAGATTATATAGTGAGAGCACTGATCGAAAGAGCAGCAAATCCTATGGCAAAAGTAGAAAAAACTTTCCTAACCTCCCTAAGGATTGGGTTGACCGGAAAAACAATTACCCCACCAGTGCACCACAACCCACCCATGTTGGTTGTACACAAACTTTATCTCCTACCTTTGGGGTAGAGAGGTTGTTTCCAATAAACCCTCAGCTAAACTGTTTTTCTGAAACAGGATTGCAACAATAATATGACAGCAAAATAGCAGAGAAATAGATAGTAAATAAACATTTTGAAGAATAAGAGACGGTACCGTGCTGGAAACATCAATTGGGTGTATTTGAAGTTGGACAAGCTTTAACCATCAAAAGAAATTTGGGAAGCTTTGTCCTTTCTAGATGAAGTATTGAGAACATAAGCCAAGAGGGAATACTTTAGAAACTTGCTTTCTCTATCTCACGTGTAGATTATTTGGGAACTAATATATTGTAATTAGAGATTAAAAGAGATGGCATCACATATTTTTTAGGAATTGTAAAGAATAAAATTTATAATCATGTTGGTGGTGAAAGAAAATACTACCAAACTGAAATACCAAACTCAATTGTACCCACTTGTAGTTTTTCTTTCCTTGGTTGTTCAAGATTATTCTAGTTACAGTGTAACTGATAAGCATTAGCCTTGTTCTTTACTTTGAACTGACTTTTATTATTTTCAAGTAGACCTGGAGCTACTCCAGGAACTACTGGAACTGGAAAAGCTGATGGTGTATCACAGCAAGTGCCTTTAGGAATGCGTTCTTCCATGTCCAAGGTTGACCAAGAGAACAGTCTCCATCTCATTGATAGAAGAGACCAACAACTTATCGGTTCAGAGAAAGAAAGGGTGAAGATCAGAGCCATCAAAAAGTATGGGACTCTGACTTCTTTTATCGTCCTTTCTTGTTCATTTTGGTTGAATGTCTACAATGTAACTTTTGGAATTTCATCTTTGCTATTATGCTTTTGAATCTTTCTTTGAGAGATTTCCATCTTTGTTTTGTATCCCCTCATATTCTTACTTCCTTTAGATGTTCATTTTATTCTATTTATGCAGTAAAACAAAGACAGCTGCTCGAGAAAATTTCATATCTGCTACTCCTTCTTCAAGTACAAAAGTGAATTCTGTTGCTCGTGCTCCACGATCAGTTTCAGGTGTTGCACCAAAATTATCAGCAGTGGTTCAACAGGCAGCTGCTGCTAATGATTGGGAAACCTCTCACTGCACAAGCAGATTTCCATCTGCTGTCGGAGCAGGTAATCGTAAACGAACCTCTTCTATGAGGTCGTCATCACCGCCTGTTGCTCAGTGGGCCAGCCAAAGGCCCCAGAAGATCTCTCGACCCGCAAGAAGGGCTAATTTTCCTATTGTTCCCAATAATGATGAAAACCCTTCTCTTGATAGTACAAGTGATGCTCTCAGTAATGAAAGGCGTCTTTGTGGTTCTTCCCCTCAACAAGTCAAATTAAAAAGCGATCATTTCTCTTCAGCTGCTTCTGAAAGTGAGGAGTCTGGGGCTGCGGAAATCAAGTCCAAGGACAAGAGCAACAGGTCTGACGAGGTAGATGAAAAATCTGGGCCCCATGTTCAGAAGATGTCTTTGCTGCTCCCACCAAGGAAAAGTAAGAGGGCTAGTGGGGAAGATCATGGAGATGGTATTCGTAGGCAAGGTAGGACTGGAAGGGGTTTTACCGCCACTAGGAATCCGATGACATTGATGGTTGAGAAGCTTGGAAATGTTGGAACAGCAAAACAACTGAGAAGCTCTAGACACGGTCTTGACAAGACTGAAAGGTTGAACCTTACCCCTATATGTATTTTTATGGTTCTCTTCCATATTTAATGCGAATGAAATAACTGTTCTTCATTTACGTGACTATTTATGCAGCAAAGCAGGCCGACCTCCTACAAGAAAGCTTGCTGATCGTAAAGCTTACAAACGACAGAAACAAGCGACAATGAATGCCACTACTGATTTTCTAGGTAGTTATAGCAACAATGTAGCTGGATTGTATAGGTGTTAGTCACTCTTCACTTTGGTTGTTCACTTCTCTTAGTTGGTTCAGATGATGGGCATGAAGAACTTCTGGCTGCTGCAAGTGCTGTTACCAACACTGGTACACTATCAACACCTTTTTTTTTTCCTGCTAACCAATCCATCTTTTTAGCATTAATTTGACATGTTTAATTTGTAATTCTTTGAAAAATATGTTCTTTTGATGGACCTGTATTTATTGCAGCTCAAGCCCTCTCTAGCTCATTCTGGAAGCAGATGGAGCCACTTTTTCGATTCATGTCAGAAATAGATACAACCTTTTTAAGGCAGCAGGTGATGGCTGTTTTATTTTGTTTTGTGGATTGCGTAATATTTCCCCATAATAATTCGGTTAACTTCTGGAAGTTGCTAGTTATTCTGCAAAAAAATCATCTAGCTATAGCGACAAGTTCAAATTGATACCCTTCTTTGTCAACTGCTTAACGGACAGGTACTGGGCTCATAGTTTCTGCTGGAATCTGAATTGGGAACTTTTGGCCTGTCTATTTGCATTTCATAAGTTTTTGTTTACGGGAAGTTACTTAGGCCTCAGTGCAAACAACTTGATGAATGTTTTAATCTTTATCATTCAGATCTCAGTCATTAAGTCTGTTTGTTTTCAAGGTTTGAATCTGGAATCATTCAGATCTTAATCATTTAGTGCATTTGTTTTTCTTATTTTTCAACCACTTAATGGTTCTGAGTAGGTCTGAATAATTAAGACGTTCATTAGATAATGTGAACATAGATGACAGTTCACTGCTACTCCATCAACTTTCAACAACCACCCACAATCACCATTTCAGTCACAACTACCATCACTTACCATCCACAATGTTGCCCAAAATCAATCGTCATCCCAATTAGCCATCATCACCACTAATCCATTAATACATCAACTAATCACTATCGATAATTACCCTCATTAGTCAACATTTTTTTTTGAGGATAGTAACACCTTATTAGCCAAACATTTTATTCCGCTAACTATCACCATCATTCACAATAACCATTCGCAGTTGCCTAGTAGTATCATCCCACCCCCAACAACCGCGGTTAAACTAGTGCCAACCACTATACCATAAGATACTATCCACTACCACCATCCCAAATCGACACACACAAATCACCATTGTTAGTCACCACCAATATTGCCATATAAAATTTTAAAATTTTTGATTGATATAACATTAGATCACTTAATGTTTTATTATAATTTTATGTTTATTGCTTTTTAAACAAAGACAAATTTTATACATTCAGATGTGGAGAACACAAACAATGTCACCTATTTTGTATTCAGATTTTTATGCAACATCTTAATTTTTAGACTTTGAAATCTTAATGCACATCTTAATATTCAGACATGCACTAGATTTATACCTCTTAATAGACCTTACCTTAATATTATGTACTCCCCATGTTTCAATTCATGTGAACCTATTTCTTTTTAGTTTGTTAAAAAAGAATGATTGCTTCCAAAATTAAGAAATAATTTAATTTGGACTTTTCATTTTACCCCTAATATAAAGCTTTTATAGCCACACAAATGTCATGGTACGTGAGACCACAAGTTTCATAAGTCGTATAGTCACACAAATGTCATGACATGTTTAAGATCATTCTAAAAGTTTTCTTTCTTGAACTCTGTGCCCAGTCAAATAGTTTCACATAATTGAAATGGAGGGATTATAGTTTGGCGCCAGATATGATGCATTATTTTATTCCCTTCCACACAACATACTTCTTTTTCTTCTTCTTTTACTTGGGTTTGATGCACTTGAGCCGAGAGTCTTTCGGTAGCAGCCTATCTACCTCCATGAGGTAGTTCCACTTAGTTTGATTTCACTGGTATGTTGTTGTTGTATGGAGTGGAGTTGTGGTTGCCTCTGCGTCCAGCGTGTGATTATTATAATTGTGGACAGTACTAATTGATAATTGCTAAGGTTAATTTATAAATTTCTTTTGAAGTAAAAAGCCAAGAAAGGATTGCTATAATGTATATCCAGTTGTCATTCCTATGGTTACCAGCAAATAGAAGTGGCGCAAAAAATGATGTTGGTATCTTTTATTATGAGTAGCAAGTGCATGAGAACTAAGCAGTTGTAGTAGAGTTGGTAGGCAGTGTGCTGGAGAAGTTGTACTAGAGTTAGGGAGTGTTAACTGTATGATGCTTTGTCCTTAAACTTGTCGAGCTTATTAATTTATTTAGAGAAAAAGATCAAAATTGTCCCTTATCTTTGGCCTTGAGACTCAAAATGATCCTTATCTTTTTGTATGGAGCACTTTTACTACACCTCCTTTGGAAAATGGTGCACCTTTCTTGAATGTCCGTCTCTCATTTTAACAGAAGAGTTGTCCACATGGTTGTACTTTTGCGAATGCCACTATTTATGCGTGGCTTGATCTAAATCATGTTATACTATGTAATAGCCACTTTATCGTCCGCTTTCATTTGTTAGCTTTTTCATATTTTTCTCTACAAGTGTGTCTGCAAGTACATGGATTCTGGGATTGTCTTAGCTGGAGTGGAATTTTGCAGCACTAGCTAAAAGTTAGCGGTGGTTGTTCGATTCAGTTTTGAATGTTATTGGTTCGACTCGGCATTTATAGAAATGCTAAATTATTATAGAAAGTTAAGATTCAATTATTAATTTATTCATTCTATATCAATTTAACAGATACTTCTCATCAAAATAAACATTGGAACCTAATCAAGGAGCTTGTTATTTTTTATCAAACGTAGAATCATAGTTTAATAATTATTGCCGGGAGTGATCAGTTAGCGGTTAAGAAAAAACACAAACCATTACAGAATTGATAATTCACAAAATGAATTCTAAACCATTTCCCAATTGTAAATTCTGAGCCGGGGTCTTTTGAAAACAATCTTTCTTCCTGACATGATAGAGGTAAGATCTGCGCTCTGTACCTTCTCATACCCCATTAATGGGACTATACTGGGTATCTTGTTATTGTTACCAAATGATAAGATTAATAATTTTTTTTTTGACACTGGCAACATTTGTATTTCAGTCAGTACTACCTATGATTGACTCAGTCTCATTGGAGTAGACATTTATACACCAAAAACAGAACAACAAAATACAGTTAAGCTTGATTTACTGCAGGTTGTTGTCCGTATTTTCAAAACGTCTATCATTTCTCTCTCCAGATAGTCCACCAATAATATTTTGTCATTTCGAGTTATTAATTTTGATTTGTACCAAAATGGTTGGAGACAACCAATATGATTATATAAATTAATCATCTGCTCATACTATTATGGAGATTATGACAAGTTACCTTCCTCAAAAAAATAATTTTATGGAGATTATGAATAATGGAGAAAATTTTAACCGTGCACCAATGGAATTGAAGGTTGGATCAGTGTGTCCATGGTACTAATAATTATAACTTCTTTCTCTGAGAAAAGAGAACCTATCATATCTCCCTATCTAACCTATGAAACGTTGACACAAGCAATAAAAATAAGCTAATTGGTAAGTGCTTACGGAAAGAATAACAAATTCTATTGATAAGGTATGACCTACTCTCTACAATGAGACGAAGAAGAAAGACAGAACGCCTAGTTTTTTTGGGGATTTTTAAAAATGTATGACATGCGTGTGAGCTGCTACCATTAGTGATAGCCAGGAAATGTTTTGGAGACTAAACTGCACCATTTTTTGCAAAGGAGGAGGACTATTAGTTCTTCTGTGGAAAATGAGGATCATTCTGTGTCTCAAGGCAAATATAAGGGACAATTTTTGGTACTTTTCTCAGATTATTTACATATAAAAGAAGCCCCTTTCCTTTTTCTTCTTTTTGTTTTGGAGATGGGATGGGTGGGTGTGGGTGTTGTTTAGCTGGTTAATAATCCATGGCATTAATCCTGGAGGAGCAACCAATTCTTTTCTTTCCGTTTTCTTTTTAATGATGCTTTGAAGTTGGAGGCTTCTGTTTTCTGTATTTTTAAGAATTCTTTGAAGAGAAAAAAGAACATTGTGTCATAATATTTTTTTCCAGCTTTAGCTTATATAAGAAATCATAAAAAAATTTGAGCTCAAGTTTTACATGCTTTTTTGACTTTCTACTACCTGGTCCTTATGGGCTATCTTGTCTCATTACTGCATTTTTCTCTGACTAGTGGAAGGGGGGGGGGGGCATGCGAGAGTGGTGGGATATGTGCATAACTTTCCACCTTTACTGTCCCATGAGAAGTCTTTGCATTTATCATCTATTGGCAATGTGATGCTCACCTTCTGGCCTTGAATATTTGATTGATGAAGATTAAAGGAGTGTTTGACCATATCAAAGTTGCTTTAATATCATCAGTCTGCCGCTATGCCTCTAGTTATGATTTTTGCTGGATGCACTAATCTTCATTGTTCTACTTGTGACAGGTAAATCATGAGATCAACCTTTCAGGGCCAGTATCTGACCCTTTTGATACTGATGGTTCGAGTTTAGTCCCAAATGGTTTTGGGTTGACCGAGTTTGGAGGAGATACAAATGAAACGCGGAGTCTTGAAAGTACCGTGGACCATGTGGTCTCTGGAAAGAGCAAACATAAGGATATTTCCTTGTACCAAAGAGTGATGGCAGCTCTAATACCTGAAGATCTATATTGCAGTGGGAATGAGGATCTTAATTCTGATAGTTATCGATCTGGATTTGAAATGGAGATGAATTTAGAATCAGATACTTCTTGTGCACAAATATTATATGGCAGTGAAACTTCCAAATACCCTGCCTCTAATGGATACATAACAAATTCCAGTGTGGATCACTTTGATAATTCGGAGCATGTCATGGACTGTAATAATGTTACATCTGCCTCAGACATGGGCGGTTTTCTAAACTATGATCATTCACAAAAATGTTTACTTCCACAACAACGAACCTTGCCTGGTTTTGTCTGTTCTGAGTATCAGTATAATGAGATGTCCATTGATGAAAAACTTCTTCTTGAGATTCACTGTATTGGAATATATCCACAGTTGGAGGTAAGTTTTAAGGATCCTCAGCATGTTGTATGGTTATAGTTCTGTATTTTGTGCTCACATCGATCAAGTGTTCCTTGGTATGCTAATTTGTGTAAAAATATGGTGGTCTATGCAGTCTGATTTACCACATACAGCGGATGAAGAAATCAGCATGGACATGAGTATATTGGATGAAAAGCATCAGGAGATGGTAAGTCTTATTTTGAATGGGTACATTCTTGAGTGATCTCTGTGCCTCTGTTTCTTGTGTCTTGCTCAGTTTCCTCTTGCTTACCTTGATTTGTTGAGCCAACTGTTGCTGGACAAAAAGTGAATCAGCTTTCAAACCTAAATCGATATCGTCACTTAATTAGAGAGAATTGGATATTTAGCATGGAGGTTGGTTACCTCTTCAAGGTTTGAGATGCTCTTTGAATGAGCATCCGCATGGGCTCAGGAAGTTTCTTTAATGCTATAAATTTTTATTTGAATATCCAAATGTGGGCCAGTACAACAAAAGCATCTTTGCACAAGGTTCTAGAACCATGCTAAATGCGTCAGAAGATTTCGGAAAGGGGCACTGAACTTCTCACTCAGAAGGAGGAGGGAACTTACAGATTCTAGAGCTTTTCTTTTAATGTTCCTAGAGCTTATTGCTTTCTCCTCTTGTGAGTTATAGAGGTTTAAGTAGTTTCCTTCCCCTATTGTTCCTAACTGTATTGGTTACAGTTCTGTTGGGGTGTTTGAACCACTGAAGTGCCTTTGCCTATCAGCCTGCTGTCTATTGTTGTTTCAATGGTGCTTTTTGCTTTTACTTTTATGGAGTGTGCAGCCTACTTAAATTGTCTCTGCTGGTAGCCTTTCTCATGTGATTGCTTGTTGCATAGGTTTCTAAGAAGAAAGAAATGCTGGGAAAGCTGTTGAATTCGGCAGCAGAGACGAGGGAGTTTCAAGAAAAGTATTTTGCTTCTTTCAGATACATGGCTTGATCCTTGATTAACACAATTCATTGACATAATAACTAAAGCATTTAATTGTTTTATAGGGAGTTCGAACAGCATGCTCTTGACAAGCTTGTGGAAATGGCATATGAGAAATATATGGTAGGTTGAACATTTTAACCAATTCTTTTCCTGGTTATTAGAGGCAACTTCAATGGAAGGATGGGGGATGAGAGTTCATGTATCTGTTTATGGTATCAACTGATTGCTAAATTGACATAGCTTTTGAACTTATGCTTCTTTTTTCATCTTTGTGGTGATTTTTTTCTCCCCTCCAAGAAGACCTTGAACTGAGTATCTAATAGTAGGTTTAGGTGCCTTATTACTGTGGAAAATTTTTTCCTAGGGTTTAGATGTATATTTTTCCTGTCATTTATGCTCAGCTCCATTTTTGCTTTCCATATTTCTTATAACCAAAAACATACTGTCTTGATATCATTCCAAGTTCTGCCTCCAAGACAAAAGCGGGTAACAGACATCATGCTCCCGCCTTTGTTTCTTATGATCTGCAGTGTTCTACATATAATTCATTGCCCACAAATGTTTGATGAGTTGATATTTTTGTCCATTTGTCTATCTTTGTGAAATCAGTTCTCTTGATTGATTTCACTGCTATTCTGCTTGTGTATGTCTCTAGTTCTCTCTATTTTGCAATCATTTAAGTTAGAATTGAGTTATCTTGGTTGCTAATGGTATCATCTATCTAGGTATCTTCTTTTCATTGTAGTGCGTTAGGAATTGTGCTGACTCTTGTATACTGCCTCTAGTAGTTGATAACAAAGTTGTGTCTGTATTGTCGGAGTATTAAGTTGCAGTTGAAGTTGCATGGAAAATTATTCATTGACATTGTCTTGCCTTGGCAGAGATGTTGGGGTCCAAATGTCCACGGGGCAAAGAGTGCTAGTGGAAAAATGGCTAAGCAAGCTGCCTTAGCATTGGTCAAGCGAACTTTGGATCGATGCATAGAGTTTGAGGAGACAGGAAAAAGCTGCTTCAGGGAGCCCTTGTATAAGGATATGTTCCTTTCTGCTATATCCCGCCTTAGTGATGGACAAACAGATTCCTACACTGACAGTGAAGCTGCAAAATCTTATTTTAGCCCACAGCAGAGCCCATCTCTAAACCAGGACATACTTTATGAAGCCAATTTATATTCTGAAGCAAGTAGAGTCAAGCGGAGGGAGTTGGAAGATGTCCTTGGTACTAGCATTGCTGCTTCCTCTGGTGCTCTGTCAGGTGTTGGATGTTCACTTTCAAGCAGTGCAAAAGGGAAGAGAAGTGAGAGGGACCGAGAAGGAAAAGGAAATGGCAGAGAGGCATCATCTCGTGGTGGATCAATAAAGATTGGTCGACCTGCCTCTTCCAGTGTTAAGGGAGAAAGAAAGCCTAAAACAAAATCTAAGCTGAAAACTACTCAATTATCCACTTCCGTCAATGGCCTTCTGGGCAAGATGTCAGGGCAACCTAAAGCAGCAGCGTCTTCAATAGTGAATTCAAGTGATATCAGTGCCAGTGGCACTGGCAAGGATAAGAATGATTATGACTTGGATGAATTAGAGGATCCCATTGATTTGTCTGGTCTGCAACTTCCTGGAATGGATGTTTTAGGTGCTCCTGATGACTTTGATGGTCAGGGACAGGACATAGGTTCATGGTTGAACATAGATGATGATGGATTGCAAGATCATGACTTTCTGGGCCTTCAGATTCCAATGGATGATCTGTCAGAATTGAATATGATGGTTTGAAGCCATCTTTGCTATAGTTCCTATTGATTGCCGATCTCTGGAGAAACAGGCTTCTGTGACCATCAGTCCGTAATTAGGGCAATATATTCTTTCTGATACTTATATACGACTTCATTTTTGAGTGAACCTCTCCCACTCTCTTGGGTTTTGTCCCTTTCAACTCACTTTGACTGTAAAGATTTTGTACAACTTTTAAGATAGTATTGTAGTTATAGTACCATAGGAACTCTGTATTTAGTAATACAGGTAAGGAAATGATGTCCTCTGTACATAAATTGTAAGTGTTCAATAAAACCATTTTATTTAAGTCATCTCATCCTTGTGTTACCAGTTCCAATGTTGCCTAATTATATAGTTTAGTTGCTCCTTTTGTCTTATTTGGTGTATTTCTTCTACTATCTAGCATACTATGCAATTGCCATCATGATCACATTTTTTTTTTCATTTTTATGATTCAGGATCTCTTATGGTTTGCGATTGTAGGATAAACTCTCATTGCTTATCGATGATCTAGTGGTGGTTCTCATTGCTATCTTTTCTTATAAGGAGCTAGCTAACCTATTGCTGAAACCTGCAAGTTCCATGTTCTGTCTACTAGGTGCTTTTGCTGTTTGTAGGATATCAATTCGCAAGGAATCATTAACATCAAAGCAAGACAAAATGCATCTCAGGTATATCATGGGCAATGAAAAATTGCATTCTTCATAGTATTTCTTTATGGTCGTATTTAAACTAACTGGCTTTGTATTAGTTCTGATTTGAATTTTTATGACAGATTCCCTCACTTGATAACTGTGATGGAAATCTTTTAACTCGACTAGCGTCTGGGGTACATCCTGTGGAGGTAGCATTCTAGTCTATTGCTTTTATATGCGTCAAAGTCTGGCCATATGTGGGATCTTCTCTTTTGGAATTCTACCTTGTATGCCTCTGCAGATTCTGCATTTATGTTATTTTTTATTGCATATGGTAGCATGGTGACTCGATACTGCAACCATACTGGTTGTATTTTTGTGTTTTTTTTAGTGATTATATATCCATATTTCTTGAGCTGAGATTGCCATAAGATTGAGGAACTGCAACATTTTTTCCTCTTTTGTCATACTTTACAGAGGATAACCAGAAAAGATTTGAGGGAGGGGGAGATAGAGAACTAATTCAGACACTACTTGAAGACAGAGTCAGATAGTACTAGCGTGAGCAATAGTTGTTATTGGCCATCATTTGCCATACTGTTAGGAATCATCTCTGCCTTATCAAGTAAAATATTTCCTGTATTAGGTAAATACACAACCATTACCATGCCACTGGACAATTTGAAAAGAGAAACTATTTCGACAGGTTCTAGTTCATTCTTCACCCTTCTGATAAGTGATACCGAAGATCGAAAGTACAGTGCATATCAGCTTAAGACATACAAGTGCAGTGGAGAGCATGTATTAAAAAATTCTAAGTTGCTCTCCTTAGGCTTAAGAATGGGCTAAATAGACGTTTTTGTAGTATGCAAATAAATAAGATATGGCTTTTGATTGCAAGTGAGTTGTGCTTATTCCAAGTTGCCGACGATCTAGTCAACTGTGCTTTTCTTAAATCAATCAGTGATTGGTCAAAAGATGGATGGCAAAATCTATTTGAATGCTGGAGACAAGTCAGATGATATAACTGAATCTAACTGCATCTGGAACATGGGTTGTGGCTGGGGGAAAATAAGGAAGAACTTGCTATGAAGAATGACAATTAGTTGGAATGTTCATGTGTTGGTATGTTATTGCGTTTGGCTTCTGAAGGCAGAGAGGATGAAGTTAAGAGGTTGAAGCTCAGGGAGCACCACACCATTTATTTCTGCACAAAGAGATCTAATGACTATTGCAGATTATTTCCATTGTAGCAGTCGAGGAGAGCAAAAGATCAACTCATTAGGAGAGAAGATTATTATAAGTGGGAACTGGCCGCTGCTAGAGAAATTTATGGGAACCCTTGGGTTGTCCGAGGGGATTTTAATGTTACAAGGTTCACAGAAGCGTTGAAGGGGAAGTTAAGGGAGTGGAATCTGGCAAATATTGGTAGCTGTAAAGAAAGAAAAGTGATATCCTAGATTAGATAGCTCCAACTAGACAAGGTACAGGAACTGAGGGTTCCTTCAAATGATGAAATATCTCAAAAGGCTAACTTTAGCTATGGAAGTATTGTAAACATGAGGAGGTAGCCTGGATGGACACAATAGGTCCAGAATCCTCAGGTTGAAGCAGGGAGATGAGAACAAATTTCTTTGAAACGATGCTGATGCATGCACAATCACATTGGTGTACTGCTGGTAGATGGGGGCAGAGATCACTGATCATGCAGCGCTTTGAAGGGTGAACTAATTACTTTTTACCAGTAGTTATACATGTATCGACAGAAACAGGGAGACCACAGTTTAATTTGGGAATGCTCGATTAGAATCCGAAGGAAAGTTTATGTGCATTATGTTCTTATTTGCCAAATTAAACTATATCTCAAAATTATACAAGTAGTGTGATTATAAGTTTCTATTTTCTTAAGTTCTTATTTGCCAATATTTTTAGAACTTCCTGGTTTGAGGTCTAAGCATTGCAAGGAGAGAGTGATACCAGATCGAGGAGGGAGGTCTATTGCCAAAGGAGATTGAAGATAAACAAGTCCAATTTCCAATTGGCCTAAGACCTAAATTATGTGACTTGGAAGAATAGCTAGATTTTTTTCTCTTAAATTAGGTGACTTGGAAGAATGTTGGAAGTGTTTGATTGAAAGAAGTCTAATGGTGGTTTTAAGCGTTGCCCTCGTATCTTTTCCATGTCTTTTTTCTTCATTTGTGTTTTCTTAATCATAAAGTAATTTATATAAGTTCCTTCTCAGTGCACAACAAATAATAATATAGATTTCTTGTTCATTTATTTTTATTTCTTTTCTGTTTTTTCTCCTCCATTTCTTCTTTTTCCTTCATTGTTCATTTATTTTGTTCGCAAACTATGTTATTTTTATTTTCTTCTTCCACCATAACGGATCTTGGCTCTTTTATATTTTCTGCTTTCTTTTTGTTTTTCATTTTCTTTATATCTTGTTTCTTTTTGAATTTTGAATTTTCCTTTAGTCTAATTTGATAAAACAGTCAAATGCCCCCTCTACCTATATCTGGATTTTTTGTTACATACTTCAATTTCACGGTTTTTTTTTTCAATCACATTGGAGTGTTTAAAAATGAAACTATTTATCTCTAAATGCTTAGTAGACAAAGTGAGTGTATATTACTCTCAAGATAGTGTGCCTCCAAAAATATTATAGTTTTATTTTTAATATTTGTTTTCTTGAATATATGCATTTTTTTTCTTTCTTCTCCATAACAACATAAATCAAAATTTTCTACCACTCACTATTGCTAAATGCTGTGGGCGTTATAATCTCCACGTAATTTACCAATGTTGATTCCAAACAAGTTACCAAACTCATGTAAAAAATTTGCAACATCAATCAAATCAACTATAGGTAAAATGACACTAGGCATTTATATCATCCCATGAGGCTTTGGATCGGAGCTGAATATTTTTTATCTAGGCATACATCAAATACATTTGAATCCCCCAAAAAGAAAAATATATATTTATCTACTAATAGATATTTCAATTATAAATTTCAAATCTCAATCAATCAAACTATATCTCAAAATTGCCATTAGAGCTATCAATATGAGCTAGCACAACCCATCCGGGCTAACCTATACAGGCTTCGACATTTTACGGATCAGGCCGGGCTAACCCATTTTTTTGTGTAGTCCAGAAAATGGCTGGCCCAACCCACAAGTACGTGGGCTACAGGCTTGTCGGGCCAGCCCACTTTATTTAAAAATTATATTATATTTAGAATTATTAAATTAAATTATAAATTATAATTTAAAAATATTATCATAAATATCGATAAAATAATATTACATGATGTTAATTTTATTATTTTTTAATAAATCCACAAATAAAATTATCTTTGTAATATTTATTAAGTTTTTTTTCAAGTAAAAGTATAAATATCTAAATGAAATATCAATCTAATTGTTTTGAATTTGTACTCTCTTTAATTTTAAAATTTAAATATTATATAATATTTTATAATTAACTTTTATCGGCCCACGGGCCGGCCCTACCGATATTTCTCAAGTTCACAAATCAACAGACTTATTCAGGTCGGGCTAAAAAACCTTTTTCTAAAATGCTAAATAAAGTGATATATTAAATTTTATTTACATATACTTTTTTCCGTTTTGGTTGGGTACTATGGGTTCTTCTAACTACAACCCTGATTGTCTTGAGTGACACCCACACTAAACCACCTGGTGGGAGAATCGAAGAATAACTCAGACTACCCAACACTATTTAAATAAAATCATGTTTAGCATAAATAAAGAAACAATTTTGTGAACTAAAGAATGAGTACCCATAAACTCAACTTAATAGCCAAAAACATTAAACCTGGAAATTACCCCCAAGAATTGAAGGTCATCACACCAAACCTCTAAAATATTAAAACTGGGGATGCAACACGGAAAATAATCAATAAACTAAAGTCTTAATAAATCCGTGTCCAACCAAATGGACAAAGAGATGCAGAAGAATCCACAGTTTCCTAAAAGGCAAAGCTCACCCTTGGATTCAGAATCAGTCGTCTCTCAACCAAGGTCTCGGATTAGTCGTGGGAAAACAATACTCACCATGGAAAAGAATACGTGCATTATTAGTACATAAACCACCATGTACCGATAGGATCACGCAGTAAACTGTCATTACAATATAGTAACACAAAACAATACATATCATACAATAATTATCAACCACATAGACTCTAAATCACATGTAATGAAAAAATAATACTCGGGTCACCAATGCATGAATACATGTCCTACATGATCACAATGCAAATGTTCGGTCCTCTCATGGAACAACAATCACATACCCGGTCCTCTCACAAAATCCAAACCCAAGTTATTAGTGTATGAGCGAGGTATCGGAGCCATCCATAGTTAGTGTATCAATGTGGTACCCGAGTCATCCATATTTAGTATACCGACATGGTACCCAAGCCAACCAACAATCATGCACAATCACATAGCAAAATGAACAAGACCACTTGAAAACCACAAGTCACAATCACAAGTTCATTGCATGAGCTACCTACGTAATGTTATTTCATATATCTCCCTACCATGAACTATGCATTGATACTACAAGAAGTAGACAACATCACCTATCTCAAATGAAGCCTCTTGAAAGTTGTAAATAACCACATCTTTCTCCTTGCGAAGTGTCTTGACTTTTTCTTGGTCTAAGACAAACAATATAGACAGCAATCAATCACTAATGTCCTATTAAATTACCAAGTTTATTAAGAATTCCTAACCCCCACCAAAATATGATTATCTTCTCCACCATGGAATCGTGATAAAAACATTCCCTAATAGCAATAACATTGATTCTAAGGCTTAAGAATTAATGCATAAAGTATGGGAGTCGAATTCTTAACTTTACGAATTGTGTGGGAATTAGGTGCTGAATACCCAAAATAATTCCTCCCAAGTCCAAGAACTCAAAGCGCAGAAAATAAAAGTTTTGGGGTCGTTTCTGCACTAGACATAATTTGGCCCACTATAGTGACACTACAATAACGAAAACCAACCACACTATAACGTTCCACATACTACGCTATAGAAGAAGGTCTTGCTCTAGTGGCCTCGACGAAACTTCAGAAATTCAAACTCAGGAAAAGACTATATTCACAACACAAACTCTTACCTTGTCATCTCATCACATATCTTTCAAGCCAAATTTAATTTCTGGAATTCTACTTAACCAAATTTGATTTCAAAAGGACTTATTGACTCCTTAATGTCTTTGCTACAAGAATATGTCAACCAAACCTCAAAATCACAATTCGACCATTTCAGATGGCCCTAGACCTCACAACTCTAAATTTCATCTAAGACTAGCGTAGCTGAAGTTTCTTAAGTCACTACATGAAAAGTTTTCTGATCCAAATTCATTCATTGTTGGCTTACTTATAACAACTAGATCAGGTCATTACAATAGATTCAAATTTACCTATAACTCGTCCCTGAGTTATTAGACAAGAAAATTTGGGCTAAAGTAAAAAAGAGGGTAGTATCTAAAAGTTTGAACAAGAGATGGTACTTGTCTTGCATATCCGTTCTTGCCTATCAAGTAAATTCCTCCAAATAATGGTGTTTCTGTTGAACCTTTACTAATTTGATTTTTTTATCTTTAGCTTCTGGACATATCGATCGAGAATTGCAACAGGTTCCTCTTAATATCGCAAGTCCTTGTCAGACACAATTGAGTCTCATTTATTAAGGTACTCATCGTCCCCATGGTACTGCTTTCGCATAGACATATGAAACATTGGATGAACCCTAAACAGGTAGGGTAGCAATGTAAACATGTAAGCCATTGGCCTCACACCTTCAAGAACCTCATGTAGAGAGGGATGAACTTATCCTTCTGTATAAACCTCATAATTCCCTTTATAGATGACCCGTTCAATAAATGTGATCACCAATCTGAAAATCCATGTTTATTACTTGTTTCCATACCTTTTTTGTCGAATCTGGGCTACCGACAACTTAGCGTGAATTCGCTTCACCCTTTCTTGAGCGTCCTTAGAAAATTCAACACCCAAAGGTTTTACATCCCTAAAATCAAACTAACCTATGGGTAATCTGCATCCCCTCCCATATAGTACCTCAAATGGTGCCATATCAATGCTGATATGATAACTATTATTATAGGATAACTCACACAAGGGTAGAAACTGATCCTAATGGCCCCCAAAAGCAATTATCCACACCCCAACATATCTTGCAATACATGAACAAAATTCTCTAACAACCTACTAGTTTGTGGAAGCAAAGTTGTATTACATGTGAGTTGAGTGCCCAATGTTTCATCCAATTGACCTCAAAACCTCGAAGTAATCTAAGTGTCGTGGTCTGAGATAATAGAGAGGGGAAACCTTGCAACTTTACATCTCCTTTACATAAATGTTTGCCAAATGTTGAGAATTGTAGTCCACTATGACAAGGATGAAATGGGTTGATTTATTAAACCTATCAAAAATAACCCAAATTGAATCATATTTCCCTAAAGTATTGGGTAGTCCCACCAAAAAATTCATGGATATCATTTCCCACTTCAATTTTGGAATGCTCATCCTCTGAAGTAAACCTACAGGCGTTTAATGCTCATACTTTACGTGTTCACAATTTTGGCACTTGGAAACACACACTGCAATGTCTTTGTTCATTCTAGGAAACTAAAAAGAAGCATCAAATCCTTATACATCTTTGTCTCACCTGGATGAATAAAATAATGCAGACCATGAACCTCAATTTACCAGCCCCAGGAACACATAATCTTCCTTTAAACTTGAGCACACCATCAACAATGAGTGGAATCATGGGTCTCCACAGATACCACCTTAAAGTTGAGTTTGGCCAACTCTTCATCCTAAAAAATCAGTTAGTCTTGATTTCCTATATGAAGTTAGGCTTAGCCCTCTATGTTGGCTAATACTCCACCATTCTTAGACACCCAACTGAACCCCATTTACAAAGAATGAAGAACGAATTCTCAAGAAATTCATCAAGAACTTCAATGCTTGGATTTTTGATGGTCGAATTTAATAAAGAAACTCATGATTGGCGTGAGGGTGAAAAACACTACTAAAGCTTACATACCTAGAAAGGATTAAATCCTTGGCAAAATTCCTTAAAGATTGCAAGAACTCTTGAACGCTTGAAACTCTCTCTCTTTCCTCCTTTTGAACTTTACCCTAAATTTCCAAATGCT